AAAAAAAATCTTAAAAAAAAAAAAAAAGAAATGAAACGAAACTAAGATTCCTGGAGAAAGAAGGGGTATGATACATCTTTTTTAGAAAATACCAGATAGAAGGGCTGGCCCCGTGGTGCAGTAGGTTAATCCTCTGCCTGCGGCACTGGCATCCCACATAGGTGCCGGTTCTAGACCCGGCTGTTCCACTTCTGATCTAGCTCTCTGCTATAGCTTGGGAAAGCAGTAGAAGATGGCCGAAGTGCTTGGGCCCCCGCACCCACATGGGAGACCAGGAAGAAGCACCTGGCTCCTGGCTTCAGATTAGCACAGTTCTGACCGTTGCGGCCATTTGGGGAGTGAACCAACGGAAGGAAGACCTTTCTCTTTGTTTCTACCTCTCACTGTCTGTAACTCTAACTCTCAAGTAAATAAATAAATCTTCTTTTAGAAAATAAGAAAATACCAAATAGCTATGTTTAGGCAGAGTCAGAAAATGATGCACAGGAGTATTCTTTGCCTATAAATTGATCCTAAGGTCAGCAGTTCAATAAAAGCAAATGATACGGGTAGGCATAGTAGCCTAGCAGGTTAAGCCACACCTTGGGTCCAGGTGCCACCTTTACTTCTGTTTCAGCTTCCTGCTAATGCACCTGTGAGGCAGCAGATGATGTGCAAGGTACTTGCATTCTTGCCACCTACCTGGAAAACCAGGATGGAGTTCTTAACTCCTGGCTTTGGCCTGACCTAATCCTTGCTGTTTTGTGGGCATTTTAGAAGTAAGCTAGCTGATGGAAGCTGTATCTCTGTTTTTCTGTTTCTCCCTGTCCTTTTTTGTGGACAATCTTTTTTCTCTGTTCTCCATATCTTAACTTCCATACAGAAATGGCTCCTCTGTATGCAATTGAGAGCTGAGAGAAATGTCTTAACAAGCTGTCTGCAATTAGCTGGATACTATCAAACCTGCACAATGCATGTTTCTATTTCCTTGCTTAGTTTGTTAAAGTTGATCTATATTTTCAGATGTTTTATCTAATAAATTATAAGTCATATCTTCCTACTGCTTTGCTATTCAGTATCTTTAGCTGGTGACAGTTTTAGCTGTTTCCAATCTTTGGATATGTAGTATCACTTGATTCACATTCATAGCTGAGATGGCTCTCGGTCATCATCAGATTTATCAGTTCATATATCAACTTATGTATCAGTTCATATGCTATCCCTGCATAGTACATCAGTGATTATTTCTGTGACATCTTGCTAACCTGCTTTACATTCATTGCAGCACTTTTTTTTGTCTGTGGAAATTTTGGTACTGTTTTGTCAGAACAGTTTCCTTAATATATGTATGGAAATACAGTTAGGTCATTATAAATAGTCTTTGGATATACTTCTGGACATTTAAGGGAACTATTCTAACAGTATAGGTGCACTTTGCCTGTTTTAGTTCTTTATACAAATGGGATCTAGTAGTGTAAGTTGTTTGGTACTATATAAATCAGTTCAGATAGTACAGAGGTGAAATATACTACAAACAAGGTTGGGGTGAGGTCTGAAGTATTATACCTATCATATTCATCTGCTGTTCTCTCTGGGACCTCACAATAGAGGTTTTTTTTTTTCATATAAAGTATCATCACATTTATGTGGAAAAATATGAGTTTATTGATGTCTTTGAAGGTATGAGGTTGCCAAGAGGGAGGGAACTGGACATGGAAAGAAGTAAACTATAATGATTAATATTTTCAAAGGATCTTTTGATTTCACCAGGAAAAAAAACTCTCCTTCCTTTTGATTCCAACTTAAAAATTGAATACAGTTAGATTCCTCTTGTTTTGTGGAACTACAGAATACAATGTGATATAAATACAAAGCACAGTATTCCTTATCTATATGGTACACCAAAAAGTTCATGAAAAAACTGAATTAAAAGATGTTTATGTTGGTACAAAATATGTTTGAAATCCATGAGTAGTTTTTTCATACACGTATTCTCTGTGAACTTTTTGGAGACATTCTTGTGTTATAGGAGACATCTCCCCCACTCACAATCTACTTTCATGGTAGAAAGGGCGACACACACTCACAGGGCCCCCCGCCAGGAACCACTGCAGCTGCCGTGCTACCTTTTTACTCAGAGTTGGAGGTATTATTGTTAAACTGTCGTTTACTACCAGGACTAGTTTGATGGCAATGTTCAACTGTAAAAGCAAGTTCTAATAACCTAGCACTGTAAGTAATACCTGATTACTTCCAAAGCAGAAATGTTTTCATAGAACTATCTTAGCATGCTTTTTTCACCTTCTGGAGATTTTAAGAAAGATGTTCAAAATCACATCTTTACCAAAAAAATGCATCCAGTCTGTTGCTAATCATCATGATAGAACTTAAATTTATTTTTATGACATACTCCTATTTATCAAGTATCATTACCTGTGTATTCCCTTGCAGTGTGTCTTCAGAAAAAAAAATATAATTGTTTGTCAGATAGAACACAAGTTACATGGATAAATATTAAAACTATGCCACTTGTATTGAACTCATGAAAGCATAATCCATTAGTGAACTTAGACATAGAAGGAAATATAGCAGTTAGCAGGAAGTTTACTTGTTTCTTTAGGTTGCTCCACCACAGTGAGACTGAGCAGATCATAATGTTTGGAACCCGTTCTGATTGCCTTTCCTACAGCAAGTTAAATAATGTAGGTAAAAATATTTACTTTGGTCAGTGCAGCTGATTTCCTAATTTAGCTTCCTAAATTTGTATAATGAAATATAATCATTCAGACATTCTGAAAAAGAAATATTCTAGTTGATAGATTTCACAAAAAGAGTGTTCTTTTTAAATTATTTTTCAAAAAGGATGCATTTATTTGAAAGGCAAAGTGACAGAGAGAATGGGAGACAGAGACAAAGAGCAAGCAAGCAAGTGAGCTCTTACATCCACTGGTTCACTCCACAAATGGCTGCAATAGCCAGGACTTGGCCAGGACAAAGCCAAGAGCCTAGAACTCCTTCCAGGTTTCACAAATGAGTGGCTGAGGCCTAAGCATTTGTGCCATCTTCTGCTTTCCTAGGCACATTAGCAGGGAGCTTAACTGGAAGCAGAGCAGCCAAGGCTTGAACTGGTGCTCTGTTATGAGATGCTGGCATCACCAGCAGCAACTTAAAGCACTGTACAACAACACTGGCCTGAAAAAGAGTGGTTTTTTTTTTAAAGATTTACATATTCATTTGAAATGCAGAATTTACAGAGAGAGCGAGGGAAATACAGAGAGAAAGAGATTTTCTGTCTGCTCGTTCACTCCCCAAATGTCTGCAATGGCTGGAGCTGAGCCAGTCTGAAGCCAAGATCCAGGAGCTTCTGTGTCTCCCATTGGGTGCAGGGGCGCAAACACTTGGGCCATCTTTCGCTGCTTTCCCAGGCATATTAGCAGGGAGCTCGATCACAACTGGAGCAACCAGGACTCGAACTGGAGCTCATATGGATGCCAGCTTTGCAGGTGGCAGCTTTACCCACTATACCACAATGCCAGTCCCCAAAAAGAGTATTAATCATAGAATCCTAGAAGTCTATATAAATGTAAAAATTAAAATTCTTATGACTGGCTTATAGTATAATATCAGTGTGTCTTATTCACTTACGATACTTTAATCAAATCAACAGTATGCCTACATATATTTACTTAAAATTTTTGAAAAGCAGTAGTAGGGGCCAGCATTGTGGCATAGCAGATAAAGCTGCTGCCTGTGGCTCCAGCATCCCTTATGGGCGCCGGTTCAAGTCTTGGCTGTTCCCCTTCCAGTCCGGCTCTCTGCTGTGCCCTGGGAAAGCAGTAGAAGATGTCCCAAGTCCTTGGGTTCCTGCACCCACGTGGGGGACCTGGAGGAAGCTCCTATCTCCTGGCTTCAGAGAAGCTCAGCTCTGGCCATTACAGCTACTGGGGAGTGAACCAGAGGATGAAAGACCTCTCCCTCTCTCCCTCTGCCTCTGCCTCTGCCTCTCTGTAACTTTGCCTTTCAAATAAATATATAAATCTTTAAGAAAAACAGTAGTAACAAATTGTCAATACTTAATATTGATAAAAGAGCATTTCAGTTTTTCACATTGCATATGGTTGGAAAATTATTTTAATCCAGGCATTTTTAACTTTATAAATATGCACATATAGTATTTTGCATCCTTCATCCTAGTTTCATGTTACCCATCCTTCTGCCTTGTGAGCCATTTCTTTCCTCCTTCTCAAATTTGGCTAGCCCTTGTGTTTTTAAACTTAGTTTAGTCCTTCTTACTTGTGGACATTTCTTCTCTCTGGCATTGGGTTAACTGCCCCGACCCTGTTCACTAATGTCTTGATTGCATCTTGTGCATAGCATTTGTCAGATTGTTGGCAATCATTTGTCTTTCAAGATTGTAAGCTCCCTAATATAGGTAGTACATCTTTTAGTTATCTATCTTTAGTGCATAGCCCAATACTTAAAATATAACAGGCACTTGAGTTTTGTTGAGAGGTTGTATAATAAGATAAGGTAAAGAAATCAGTGTATAAACATTAGAAGAGGCTGGTGCCATGGCTCACTTGGCTAATCTTCCGCCTGTGGTGCCAGTACCCCAGGTTCTAGTCCTGGTTGGAGCGCCAGATTCTGTCCCAGTTGCTCCTCTTCCAGTCCAGTTCTCTGCTGTGGCCCGGGAAGGCAGTGGAGGATGGCCCAAGTGCTTGGGCCCTGCACCTTCATGGGAGACCAGGAGGAGGCACCTGGCTCCTGGCTTCGGATTGGCGCAGCACGCCGGCCACAGTGCACTGTCCATGGAGGCCATTTGGGGGGTGAACCAACAGAAAAAGGAAGACCTTTCTCTCTCTCTCTCTCACTAACTCTGCCCATCAAAAATAAATAAATAAATGAAGTAAAATTAATATTGTGCTTTTTTACTGTTGAAATCTGAATGGCAGAAAGATGCTGTTTATTCATTACTATATTCATTTAATAAGTCAAATAATAATGTTTGTTTATTACTACAGGTGTTTACTGTTGGCAGAATTTGTGCTAATCGTACCACAGTTTATCATAATCTGAAACATTTTAAATTCAAACTGTACCAGCAGTGTTGCTACACTGTAAACACTGAAGAAGTTGAGGATGAACAGGTTAAAGAATCAGTGGAAAGAATTTTCAGTCAGTTAAAAGAAAGTGGCTGGATTAAGGAGGTAAGTTGAATATGTGAGAACCATCTCATTCTGTACATCTGGGAGCTTAATTATTATTAGCAAAAGGATACAAATGATTAGAAGACAGTGACGTTTAGAAGAGAATTTCTTCTTTTATTCTCTTCTATTCTGTACGTGTATTTTCTCTTCTTCCATCCATTTCTTTCATGCTCTTCCATTGTCCTATGCTGATGTTCCAAGGATTCACTCAGCTAATCTGATAGTTTAATAAGTGGTAGCGCTGTCCATTAACAAAGGACCTCTGTCCTTTCACTTTTACATATGTATTCTTTACATACATTTGAAGTTCCCCTGTTTTCTTTGACAGAGCATAGGACTCACTTCTGCTTGTCTGCTTCCTATACTTTAGAACAGTTCTTGTTACCTGAACGTTAAGAAACACCCGGTGCCAATCTGAGGCAAGATCTTGGCTGCCAGTTCTGCTACTACCCACATCCTCTTCTTGAGGACATGGGACTGAGCAGTGAGCACTGGGACGGAAGGTGGAAGGCAATGCAGAGGTTTCAGGCCACCGCACTGATGGTGATTTCTCTGTATCTTCTTGATCATTAAATTTGATACCAGGGATAAAGTGGGGGTTTCCAAAGATTTGCTGGCAGCTCATTAGCTCTGGTCTGCTCCCAGAGCTTTGTGGTACGTGGAAAGAATGCTAATATGATGCAGTCTTCTAAAACAAGTCTAGTTCTATAAATGGATGAGACAACAAATAGTGGCTTTTCAGGAGGCTCAGATCAATGCATATTTAATCATTAAAAAAAAAAAAAAAAACAGGAAAAGTGCAAGATTCATTGCCTGGGTTATATCATAGGCAGACTTGTAAAAGTGGAAACTAAAAATGGGGCAAGAAAGCTTAAGACATAAACTTATTAGAAAGAAAGAAAAAGAGAGCAACAACAAGAACTCGGCACGTACCATGTTCAGTGGAGGTCTCCCAGGCTGGAGAACGACATCCCAGTTGCTTTCCCCTGGGATGATTATTCTCCCACCACAAACCATCACTCAGTGATCTTGAGCCTACAATCTTCTTTCTCTCATTTTATTTTTTTTAGCTCATTATATTTTACTTTGCTTATACTTCTCCCTCCCATCCTTGTCTTTGCTTTCCATTTGTCTTAGGAGTACACACACACACACACACACACAACAAATGGAATGTATCTGAGCCATTGCTTATAGTAACCTGTGCTCATTTTTTCTAGACATTCAATTCCTAAGTGCTTTTATTGATGCCTTTACGTGTTGCTAGCTCTCTAGTAGAATTGGAAAACCTGTTGGGATAGATTTATAAAGAATTGCATACTAAATGTAGAACCATAACTGCACATGTACTGTATGTTATGTAATAATATTCTGTTGGGGAAGAACATGAATCTTCTTGCAGAAAACAACAAAAAGCATTTACAAATCATGTACCTTAGAGAAAACTTAACAAGTTTGGGACAGCAGAAGGAAACTGGTGTAAGAAAAATGTTTTTAAGCCAAGTTTTATATGAGTAAAGAATAGCTCTTGGAGCTGGGGTCATGGTGCAGTGAGTGAAGCCACCCCTTGTGATAACGGTATCCCTTATCAGAGTGCTGGTTCAAATCTTGGCTGCTCCACTTCTCAGCCAGCTCTCTGTTACTGAGCCTTGAGACAACAGCAAAAGATGGCCCAAGTACAGGAGTTCTGGGCTGCTACAGATCTGCTGACCCAGATCCAGCAGTTGTGGTCATTTGGGGAGTGGACCAACAACTGGAGGTGTTCTCTCTTTCCCTTTATCTCTCTCCCTTTCAAATAAATAAACCATAGAAAAAAAGTAACGTTAGGCATTGGGTCAATGTCATGAATGTTTAGGACCATACATCTATTTTCTAACAAAAAAAATTATCAAAGAGCTTTATTTTTTATGAAATATTCCCACCTTAAAAATATTTGTGCATAAACTTTCTTGAACAATTTCACAGAAACCATGAAGTCTATAACCAGTGTAAATCCCATCTGCAGCTTTTTGTGCTATGATGAAATTTCAGAATTTTTCAGATGCTCTGACATTTCTTACTGTCCCTCTCCCTGTGCCTTTGAGTGGCAGCCTTGCATGTGTCTTGTCACATTTGCCTTTCTTGACTGCAGTCTCCTGGTTGCAGTCGCTATAACCTTTAGAGTGCCTGGGGGCTCAGTGCTATGACTGCTGTTACCTCCCAGTGATGTCAGACCTTCCCTTCACCTCACACAAACTATTGGTTCCTGTTTTTCTGCCCCCAACTCAGGTCTCACATCTTGCTTTCCCCTTTTCTTGGCCTTATCCTCCAAATATTTTTCTTCTGTTGTCTCAGGAAAACTGATAGTCATATTCTCTCTCTCTCCCCTCCCCCCTCCCCCCTCTCCCCTCTCCCCTCTCCCCTCTCCCCTTTCCTCCCTCTCTCTCTCTCTCTCTCTCTCTCTCTCCCCACAAAATAAGAAATTTTGTTGTCACCACTGTTGATGTTTGACAGATCACAAGTTGAATTAGGGGAGGACACAGAGGGAAACTTGAGACACTGAGGTGGATTTCTGGGCGGTTAAAATCTTTAAAGGTCAACAGTCCAGTTGTTCATAAAGCCTTTGCTAGATATGTGGCTGGCTGTCTTTTCACCTGAAAAAATTTTTAAAAGGTTTATTTATTTATTTGAAAGGCCAGGTGACACAAAAAGAGTGAGAGACACATCCTGCATCCACTGGTTCACTCCCCAAATGGCCTCAACAGCTGGGGCTAGACCAGGCCAAAACTACGAGCCAGGACTGGCACTGTGGCGTAGTGGGTTACGCCTCTACCTACAGTGCTGGCATCCCATATAGACACTGGTTTGGGTCTGGCTACTCTGCTTCTGATATAGCTCCCTGCCAAAGCAGTGGAAGATGACCCAGGTGCTTTGGCCTCTGCGCCCACATGGGAGACCCAGAGGAAGTTCCTGGCTCCTGGCTTCAGATCTGCTCAGCTCCTGCCGTTGGGCCATTTGGGCAGTGAACCAGCAGATGGAAGATATCTCTCTGTCTCTGCCTCTCTTTGTGACTCTGCCTCTCAAATAAATAAGTAAATAAGATTTAAAAATATAAAAGCTAGACGCCAGGCACCCCATCTCAGTCTCCCATGTAGGGGGCAGGGACCCAAATACTTGGATCCTCATTTGCTGTTTTTCCAGGCAAATCAGCAGAGATTGGATCACAATTGGAGCAGCCAGGACTTAGAACTGGTGCTCTGATACAGGATGCCGGTGTTGCAAGCAGCATATTAACGCACTGTGCACAATTCTGGCCCCTCACTTGGCAGGTTTCCCTATCAGTTATTACAAAATGGAGTTTAACTAAAGTCTTTGATCTGTCAAGTCAAAACAGAATGAGTAAAACACAATTTCTCTAGTGTATAAGGAAGTGAGAAAGTTTGCTTCTTTGGGCTTTCACAAACATTTTAATTGTTTTAAAGGCTGTCTTTGACTTTTAAAAATGATCATTACAATAGATTTTCTTGAATTATAGATCACAGTAGCTTTACAAACTGTAAGATGAATGTATAAACATAATTTCAGATGCTCTTGGACACACATCTGAAGTTATAGCATATGTGATAAATATTTCTCATTTGTTTACTCTTTTGGACAATGAAGAATACTCAATTTATCTTACACTGAAAATTTAGCCTTTGATAACCCTGGCTGGAATATCACAGTGGGGAATTTTCAGTTTTTTTATCAGGCTTGCAGTCCAATTAAAGATATCTTGTGGACACTTTGTTTTCATTCTGTCATTATTATCAGTGGGCTGTTACATAGGCAGTTTCTCTGCATGACAAATTACTCTTGCAAAACCATCTTTACAGTGAAACAAATGTGAAAGACACCTTCCCCAATGCAAGGAAAATCCTCTGGACCCATAACAAAGGCAAAGCCAAAGTTTTTCAGGGCATCTTTAAAAGCAGATAGCAACAATCCTAGATCTCTTTCTTTTAAGATCATTTTCCTTTTTCCTCATTTTGTAGTCACTGTCCTATTGTCTTCTAGTCTGAAACAATCCCCCCCTTTTTTTTTTTTGAAGATCAAGGTTTTCATGGGCACGGAACTATTTGGCATGAACCCTAAAGAAAGTGGAATGTTGGGTCTGTCCTCCAGTAGTTTCTTCCTCTTTCATCAGCATTCAGCCAGATGGTTGACAACTGTAAGAGAAAACAGCTCTTTGGTCAGTTGGTCAGTTGGGTTCTTCTGATCATGTATCTGAAAGCTGCCATCCAGGGCTGCTTCTCTGGGGCTGGATGTTCTCAGACACGTCTCATTGTGTCCTGCAGGAGCCACGGGTAATCTGTAGCCATAGGCATCCTCCCAGTCCTGCAATTCCTTGCCCGTGTTCTCACTCTCGACGCCTGGGTAGCAAGCTGCCAGGGCTGCTCCCGGGGGTCCCAACGCTTAGCAAGGTCACATTGCCCACTGGCACCGCTGCCTCCTCCATCGGCCCTTGCTCCTGGAGCTGTGGCAGGGCCCCATTGCGGGAGGGACTCAGGGATGGCTCCAAGTTCCTGCCACCTACCTCCAGCTTGGAAGGCATCACAAGCACCTGCAGGCCATTGTACTCTTGCTCAGAGTCCAGCAGCTCCACCCTTGCCGACCTTGTAAAAGCTCTGAGGTTCTTGCTTCTTCATGTCTTCTGTGTCCCTGTGTTGACGTCAGCCCATCTGGTGTACTCGTATCTTCTTTATGGAGTAGGTTTTATTGGAAAAAAAAATTTTTTGTTTTAATCTGGGATGCAGGGTATCACTTGGTATGTTGCTTTGGCTTCAGTTCTAGGTGAGCCCAGGAGTGTAGTCTCTGGGTAATTTCTTTTGTCTAAGTCAGTGTCAGCTGTGTCTATAAGTGACGCAGTGGTCTCGTCTTCTGCAGTTCATAGGGATAGAAGTGTGACTTTGAGATGAATAAGGGTTTCTTTGGGTGTGTATCTTTGGTCCACAGAAGTCAGTGTCCGTCTCCCTGGTGAATGTGGTAACCAGGGCCTTGTTCTTGGTGCTGAGGGAGACAGAGGTGGCTGCCCCTTGTCCTACTGGCAAGCCTGAGTGATGCTGCAGCTTGTGGCACCAATTTCTGTGGCTCTAGGACTGCGTGATATGGATGGACTCTTCCTCAGGTCCTGCTAGGAGAATCTAACTGGTGCTGTGTCTTATAACACCAACAGCCCTAGTCCCAGGGCTAGGGGAGGTGAACTGAACCCTGTTCCAGTCCTACAGAGTGACTACAAGGTATACAAATTACACTGTGGAGGGCATGAGTCCAGAGAGGTGGAATGTCCACCAGGTGGATTCCAGTGGCACTAAGAAGTTTAGAATGAATTGTCATAGCCCTGATGTTGCAGGGTGTAATGGGGTCATTACCCAGGTCTCCCAGGATGGGAGCAGAGTTTTTTTGTTGGCTGCCTCTGATATTAGCCCAAGAATCTATCCCCCTGGCTCATATAGAGTGTGTGAACATAGCTCTGGGGCTAATGCCCCACAACTCCCACAGTTGCAGGATGCAGAGGATCTACCCTTTGGCCCACATGTTGCCCTGACTCTTTGAGGCTTGGCTTTTTGCTGCCAAGTATGGCACTCTGGGCAGGTGGGGAGGGGAGGAAAGGAAAGCAATGTGTCTTCGTGTCTTCCCTGCTTCAGCTTGGCAGTTGTTCAGGCCCCAGTCAGCTCTCCGGGCTGAAGTAAAAGTCAGTGGATGACTGTGGAATTCCCTCTCAACTAAAGCTGCAAGCAGTGGGGCTTGGGGCATTCTTTCCTACCTGGAGGTGGTAAGGTGGCTGTTCACAGTGTGCCGCTTGGCTGCACCACATGGCTGGTTGCTGTGGTGTCCAGTCTTCTCTCTCCTTGTCCCATGCAGTCCTCATTGTTTTTTTGTTTTTTTGTTTGTTTGTTTTTTCTCATTTCACCAAAATTTTCTGTCAGAGCCCTGGAAATATAGTCCTTTCTTTGTTTTTTTTTTCATATGCCGAGGAGCTTAAGTTGGTGTGGCTGTACCTGTATTCAGCCATCTTGAATTCAGCGATTTCTGAATTGTGGCCTAGCGGGTTAAGCCACCGCCTATGAGGCTGGAATCCCATATAGGCACCAGTTTGTGTCCCAGCCGCTCTACTTCCAATCCATCTCCTTGCTAATGTGCCTGGGAAAGCAGAAGATGGTCCACATGCTTGGGTCCCTGCCACCCACATGGGAGATCCAGAGAAAGGCTCCTGCCTGGCTCCTGGTTTTGGCCTGGGCCAGTCCTGGCCATTGCGGCCATCTGGTGAGTGAACAAGCAGATGGAAAATCTCACTTCCTCCCTGTCTCTGTCTCTAACTCTGCCTTCAAATAAATAAATAAATCTTTAAAAAAAATGAGGATTAATGCTTAAAAGCACCAGTTGTAATAGATTCTGTCTTCAGCCTTGTGCAGTTCCCTTAGCTAATCCGTCCCTTTCCATGGGTCTAGCTGCTGCTTCTGGGTACGAGATTACAAACTCCTTTCATGTTCTGATCTTTTTCCCACACTTCATTCCATCAGTTCTAGCTATTTTCATTAGTACATCCATCTGATACTGTCAGAAAACAGTCTTCATTATTAAAATAAGACCCAACCTCTCCATAGGTTTAGTAAAGAACTATAGAAGCAGAATCTTGAAGTAAAGAGGATGACAGACTAACATTAGTAGGCTTCTCTTTCAATTTCACTTTCCCTGTCTAGGTTATTCTTTTTTCTTGCCAAAGCTATACCCTACCTGACTCTTACGATGCTCAACGTACATACTATAATCATCAAAAGGATGGATTTAAATATTTGTACTGTCACTTATTATCAGTAGAATTTGGGAGCAAGTTTTATCAATTCTCTAAGCCTGTTTTTGTATTTGTGAGATAGGAACTGAAACAATAATGATAACTAGCATTTTGATTGTGGAGATTAAATAACACATTTTAAATATTTAGTATAAGACCTGGTGATTAGAAAGTGAACAACTAATGTTGGCCATTATTTGTAACAAAAGCTAGGAGGAAATTTCCTTCCTCTGTTAGTCTAATTGCAATTTTAATTTTCCAAAAGAAATTAATTAATAATAAAGTAGATTAGTTAGAGATAATTATATGAGAGGGATAAAAACAGCCAACTTGAATTTCGAATCCTAGAATACTTTACTTATATTGAATTCCTCTTTCCTGAGAAGGTGATTTAGTCAGATCTTGAGAATATCAGAAAGAGTTCCATGGCCTTGCCTAAAAAGGAAAATGCACTCCTCACATTCCCTTCTAGTCAGGGCCATCATGATCCTCATCTCAGTGAGGGTAGAACAGAAATGCATACACAGAGTCAAAAAACCATTAGGTCATTTACTTTCATTAACTGAAATACTTAGAACTGTGTATCCCAGACTAAGCCCCTGTGTCTCTTCCCTCCCTCAGTGTGCCTGTGAAGTAGGATTGCCATTATTCTCCACTTTGCCAACCTTGAAATCTCTACACCATTCTTGACTCTGCTCTTAATTTGTTCTGCCATGTTATTTATTTACTCTGCACCTTCATTGTTACCACTCAAATTTGGTCCTAGTTGCCAAACTATTCTACAGTGGGTATTATATTACCACTTCAAAACAAGTCAGTCTCATATTCTAAAATTTTTAACCTGCTAAAAATTTTAGAATGTTTATGTTGACTGTTAAATTATTGCTATGCTAGCTTTAGTTTAACCTAGCATTTCATACTTTTAATTATCTGATCTCAATCTCTTTGGTTCAGTCTTCTCTCTGTCCTCCTATAAAAATTTCAGGTTGTAGTCAAATCCCATACTTTCTTGTCACATCACTGTTCAATGGACTGTTGTCTTTTCCTGAAAACTCACCACTAACTTTTTTCAAAATTTTATTTCTTTTTTGAATGGGGGAGAAACAGATCTTTGGAGGGCCAGGCCAAAGCCAGGAGCTTCTTCCAGATCGCCCATACAGGTTGCAGGGACCCAAGCAATTTGGCTAACTTCTGCTGCTTTTCCCAAGCCATTAGCAGGTAGCTGGATCAGAAGTGGAGAAGCTGGGACACAAACTTGCACCCATATGGAATGCCAGGTTATAAGCGGCGTCTTTACTCCCTATGCCACAGTGCTAGCCCCTCACCACTCTTTACCTACCAAATCTGTTTCCCCAGGACAGCTTAACTACCACTCTTTCCTGTTCCCCTCAACTAACTATGACCCCTCATCTGAATCTTCATAACAGTGCCTGTACTCCTTTGTGGCACTTATATCTGATTACCATTGGTATATCATTACTGAGCTCTTCTCTCTGTTTGGATAGGAAGAGCATATTTTTAATCCTGTGTTAGCAGAGTATTTGATTTATAAATTCATTTTTAGCAGAGGATGTTCAACAAATTTTTCTTGAATAAGTTACTGAAATTACTACCTTTTTTACTACAAGTGATCATGGAAAAATTATAATTGATAGAAAAGCTATGAAATTAATAATACTATCAAGTTTGATCTCTTTTCCTAGGATTTCTGTGAATTAGAAATGCTTAAAAGTTGAGTTCCCATTTATAATAGATTTTTTCAAAATTACTGTGAAATGAACTAGTTATTGTTTGTATTTTGAAAAGACCTACCTTATTTCGTTGCTTTGTGTAAAATAACTAGCTTTTCTATTGTATATGCAGAAATATAGTGAACTTGAAGAATATCTGAATTCTGCAGATAACTTTCAAGATGAGAAGTTTGAATTGTAATACATATCCTTCCGAGAAGACAATAATTTACTGTAAATGTGAAGATCATGAATCCTGTTTCTCTGAATCATGTGACATATTTGTATATTTTCTGTGTATCTTCATGACAAAACATCCTGTATCATTGAAATTCTCATTCTAATAATGCTTTTATCTGATTTATAAATAGAAAAATAAGTTTAATAATTTTCAAGTACATAAATGTATTTTAAAGTTGTAGAACAATGTCTTTATAATATATCACTATCAAGTGAATGACCTATTCATGTTCCGTCAGTTTAGTTATAACTGTATTGTATTTTAAAATAGTCTTAAAATTTTTTAAATTTAGACAAACATCTATCTGTATGTATTGCTGAAGCCCTGCTCAGGTCTGTTTGTTGTCTTTTTGCACAGTTGGGTATCTTTACCGTTACACTACTATCATCTAATGAATGGGCCATGAAGGAAGCTTCAACATGGCATTCATTCAGTCCCCTTGCCTCAGAATCACATTATAGCTTATCTGTTTCAAGAAAAGAGGTTTTTTTCTTCCTTTTCTTAAGTTTTACTGACAAACATATTTTAGGTCTTTAAGAATCTTTTGGCCTTACATTCCAGAATAATTTTTTTTTTTTTGGACAGGCAGAGTTAGTGAGAGAGAGACAGAGAGAAAGGTCTTCCTTTTTCTGTTGGTTCACCCCCAAAGTAGCTGCTGTGACCGGCGCATTGCACCGATCCGAAGCCAGGAGCCAGGAGCTTCCTCCTGGTGTCCCATACGGATGCAGGGCCAAGCACTTGGGCCATCCTCCACTGCCTTCCTGGGCCACAGCAGAGAGCTGGACTGGAAGAGGAGCAACCTAGACAGAATCTGTCGCCCCAACCTGGACTAGAACCTGGTGTGCTCACACCGCAGGTGGAGGATTAGCCTAGTGAGCCGCGGTGCCGGCCACAGAATAATTTCATGATATGTGTTTTTATGCTTTATAAAATTTTTTTCCTGTCCAACTGGAGAAAAAAGATTAAAATATTTTATATATTTTTTATCCATAACTTCTCTGGTATAAGTATATCTATAAATTAGGGTAAGCGATCTCAGAGAATTTCAGTGAAAAGCACTTTAAAAGCATATATTTTGTTATCTGCATTACTTTACACATTTGAATTTTCTTATTTAATAAAGTAAAATAGTTGCAATGTTTCTGTTCAGTATCTTTATTTCTAAAAAGTGGTATTTCAGTAGATTCTGCTCTATAATGACACTTTAGATACTTTTTTTCTTAATGGAATTGTTAGATGAACTTGGTTTCATTTAGTGTGTGATTCATGGCATGGACCTCAGTAAATATGTATACATTAGCAGCCACATTTTATTGAGTGTTTACACAGACATTAGTTAACATTTTCATCTACTTCTCAGCTTTTTGGCTAAGTCAAATGTAGTTAATATTTTCTCCCATTCATTTCCTAAAATTATGATTATTGTAAACAAAGTAGTTAGAAAAGACAAAGTGGTAAGGATGCTGATGAGAGCTTGCCTTTTTCAAAAGTGAAACGGGGTGTAGTGGCACAGTGCATTAAGCTGCTGCTTTGGAAAACCCACATCCTATATCGGAGTGCCTGGTTCTAGTCCCAGCTACTCCTCATTTCTGATCCAGATTCCTGCTAATGTGCCTGGGAGGCAGCAGATGGCCCAGTTATTTGGGCTCCTACTACCTATGTGGGAGACCTGGATGGAGTTTTTAGCTCTTGGTCTGGCTGGTATGGGCATTGAGGAGTGAACCAGCAGATAAAAGATTTCTGTCTATCCATTTCTTTCTGTCAGTCTACCTTTCAAATAAATAAATCTTTTAAAAGCATGAAATAGGAATTTCATATTCTTTTTCATATTTCTCTAGCACAAATCCTTAATTCCATGAAATAAAAATAAAGCCACAATTGAAAAGTATAGATGAAAGAATAGTGTCTGATAGAAAAAAAAGTGATAGAGGTGGAAAGTGAAAAATCCTGGTTAATTTGTAAAAAGGTAGGCTGCAGACTGTGATCTCTGAAGTGTGTCTGATGACCCTGGAAGCATCAAACTTGACACTACAGACAAGGGTAAGATAACTCAAGAGTGAAAGTGTTGAAACTGGAGAGCATTAAAAATTTAATTTTAGTAACACAATTAGTAAAATTAAGGCACTAATAGTTACAAAGACTTAATGATGTTAGCTGACCCATGACCTAGGTTGATATGACATCTCGTTGATTGGAATCACTTTGTAAGAACTTGATCACAAGAGGCTTATAGGTAGTTTTTCTTATGTCTAGTCATTGCTACCATGCTTGCTGCTTCAGTAGGTATTTGGAGAGCACAAGAGGCCTTAAAGTATCTGGTGATACCAAAAGCATGGCAAAGTGATTGTTAAGAAGTCAGAATTAGCATAGCTTAGGAGACCAAAGAGCAAGTTCATACAAGAAAAGGAAAATTTTGAAAAAAAATAGGATTAACCTTTATAAGTAAAATGACGAACTATTAGTATCATCAATTCATTTGTAACACTGAAAAGTTGGTAAGCTTATAAATCTCACCTGTTCACATAACTTTTAGATCTGGATATTTTATCACTATAATGTTAGGTGCTTTAGTCTGTTAGGTAGCTGTGGATAGTAGAGGTAGATAAGACAGAAATTGACAAGTAAAAGGGAAATGATGCTTAAAAGAATTGGATGAGTGCTATGGTGCAAGTGGGTTAAGCTGCTATCACCTGTAATGTCTGCATTGCATATCAGCATCTGTTGGAGCCCTGGCTGCTCCACTTCAGATCCAGCTCCCTGCTAATGTGAATGGGAAAGAAGTGGAAGATGGCTCAAGTGCTTGGGTCCCTGCTACCCATGTGGGAAACCTGGATGAAGTTCCAGGCTCTTGGCTTCAGCCTGCCCTACCCCCTGCTGACATGGAGTGAACCAGCAAATGGAAGATCTGTCTCTAACTGCCTTTCAAATAAATGAATAAATCTTAAAAATCATAGGAATATACAGAAATTTTAGGCTTATGAAAGAGAACAAGACCATAAGACAAAAAAGGGGAAAGAAGTGTTTAAAGGCAATTGGATGTCCCATGTCCATGTCTCCTCTCCTACTTATATTCAGATGAGTTGTTTTATCCACCTCTCAACATTCCTTGGGGGTGACAAGTACTATAGGACTTTTTTAGACTCCGGAGTATTGATTGAGAGAGTTGCAGCCTTGGAGCTGCTCTGCTTTGGGGGCAGTCTGGCCTCCCTAAACTACTTTCACAGTTGATAATTGAGGCAGCAGCCCAGTGGTTAAGAGAGGGTAGGTTTGAAGTCATTTGAGTTTGAATTTTGATCTGTTAATTCTGAGTTCCATAAACTGGAGCAAGTGGTTTCCTCATTTTTAAATGGGTTTAATAATACCTGATATTTTAGGATTAAGAAGGTTACGCAGAGTGCCATACCTGAAGCAGTGACTTTTAGATAAATAGTAACTGCTGTGAATTGAAAAGGATGTTGCGGATGCTGATGTCAACTTTAAACAGCTGCATAAAGTCCAATGAACACTCCCAAGAACTGTCCTATAGCTCTGGAATATTATGTGAAAATGAACTACTTGCCACATTTTTAGGATATGTCCGTGTTGGCATAAAAATCAAAAAGTTTATTTCATTTAGGAATACTGATTTCACCAAGGACTCATTAATCAAAACCCATGGTACTTACAGAGTGAACATTAAGTTTTAATTTCTTCTTTTATCAGACTTTATTGTGGAATGTAAACACAAGCAGTTGTGGAAAGAAGATATTTAATGAACACAACTGTTAGCACATTGCGATAGTTCAAATTTTGCACGTATAGCAAGGAGATGTCTCTCTCTTCATGTGAGTAGTTACAACTTCAGAGCATATTGCAATGAAAAGTTACAAAGATACATTCCAACAGAGTCCACTTGTCCCCATTTCCCATCTAACATTCCAGAGGTGGTGAAAATAAAATGGACCAAAGTAGGCCAACCGATAGAGAACTGAAACTGTGTGCCTTGATTTTGCCCATTCATTTCCATCTGCACCCCAGTTTGAAGTGGGACCATCTTACTGCAATGCTAGAGTTGGTTTAAATTAATGGGGCTCTGTGGCATGGGACCTCAAATCCAAATGACTTCAAAGTTAGGATACTCAGAATATTTTTGGTTCTAGCTAGTCTAATACCATGCTCACCTGAATGTACTCTCCCTAACTAACAAGGACAAGTAGAATCCACTGTAAGTCTTGGTGTTTTAAAGATGGGAGAGGGCCAGATAATGATCTATGCAAGAGATCTGTGCGCTTTGTGTTATGAAACTGCTTGAACTGAACAGCTGAATGATAATATTCCTCATACCTTTATTTTGGCTTGTCACAGTCAACTTGCCTTTTCAAATAAAAACCTTTTTTTTTAAAGATTTTTTTATTTGAAAGGCAGAGTTACAGAGAGGTAGAGACAGAGAGAGAGGTCTTCCATCTGCTGGTTCACTCCCCAGATGGCCACAATGCCCAGAGCATGGCGAATATGAAGCCAGGAACCAGAAGCAGCTTATGGGCTTCCCACACAGGTGCAGGGGCCCAAGGACTTGGGCCATCTTCTGCTTTTCCCAGGCCATAGCAGAGAGCTGGATCAGAAGTGGAGCAGGCAGGACTTGAACTGGCACTGCCCACAGGGGATGTCGGCACAGCAGCAGTGGCTTTACCTGCTATGCCACAGCGCTGGCCCCAGAAAAATCTATTTTTTGTTTTTTCCTCCCTAGAACTGGTATTGCCGATTTCATCATCCTCAAAAGTTATTCATCCCTACTGATTTGCTTGTGATCACCCAGATGGGCTTCTGCAGAGACACGACCAAGGGCAGGCCGGTCCACCCCACACCTGCCCGCCCTTTAGGAAACAACAGTGTGGTTGCCCCTCCTCTCCGCGTGTCCCCCTCCCCCAAGGAAGCGCACAGCCAGGTCTTCCTTATTATATGAAATGAGCGCTTCCTCAGTGCTCTGCCAGCTCTCGCTAGGGTGCTCGGTGGTGTCATTCTCAGCATATTGAAAAATGAAAATGATATCCTCAGGGGGGCGTCACGTAGGTCTGAAAGGGAAAACACATTCCCTGAATGGGAATTCCTTAGACATTGAGGGCTGGCGAAGTAGTTGCGTGGAGGCTGGGGAATTTCCCCCGTGCCCCCACTCCTCCTTCCCCGAGCGTGAGGCGGAGCAGAGCGCCAGCCGCGCGAGTCGCAGGCTCCGGGATTTACCTCTTCAGCCACTGGGAGGCCCTCTGCGCTCCCCTTTCCCCGGTGCCGGGCGGCGATCGCTCCCTGGCGCAGTGGCACCCGCCTTCCACCAGGGAGCCTCGAGCGAGCGCTCCCGCCCTCCCCCCGCCCCCCGCCCCCCCATCTGCAGCTTGCTGGCTCGCTCTCTCTCCCTCTCTGTCTCACTCTCTCTCTTTCTCTCCCTCTCCTATCGGAGCACAATGAAAGCCTGTGTATCGCCGTGACTCCGGGCGGGAGCCAGTGTCAGCAAAGCGGCTAACAACAGACGAGAAAGAGAAAGGAATATACAAGCTACTTTTTTTGTGTTGTTTTTTTTTTTTTTTTTTTCCACCTCTAAAGCGAAGCAATACAAGAGATAGAACCACATTGCTTATTGCGAGTCCAGACCCTCAGATCCACTGGCCGGGGATGGAATGTACAAAAGTGGACAGAAAAGTGGCTGGACATGACTCGGTGCAATTTGCTGGAAGTTTGTAAGTTGGACCATCGTTTGTAAATTACTCTCGGAAGAGTTTGTCTCTCTTGATACTGTGTTAGAATAGAGCTGGGGGTGAGGAATAGAAACCTAAGTGGGAAAGGAAAAAAAAATGTGTTGGAGGATCTCACTCAGTGGCTTGCCACTTCAGATTGCTTTGCTTTAAGGCTGGGAAACCTTAGAGGGAATGAGGATTTTACCGGTGATTGGATTAGCTGGAGAAAAACCATGGTCCAAAAGTCCAATTACTGACATTGTTAACAATTGAAAAGCTGTCTCCCGCTTTGGGGAGAAGACACCATCCTCCAGGACCCCCAAAGAGGAGCGTGCACCGGAGCAGAGGGAAAGGGAGAAAAACTAAAGCCCAAAAGACAAGGCTCGCTTGATTTGTTTGCACATTTTGAACCCTCAGAAGCCTTCTGAAACAGCAC